CGGCCAGACAAAGAAACTTTCTATTTGCTAATTTTGTCATCATCAAAATGAAGATTTCTCTTTTTTATCATCGTTCTCTGTGATCTGATGCTGGAAACTTGGGCTGTGATGTTTGGAAAGAGAAAAGACTTGAGGAGCTTAAAGCTTTACCAGATGCACTGATGGCATATGTCCAATAATGTCGATAATTAGACAATAAAAATCACATTAACAATGGAAAAGGACAAAAACACTGATGCAAATGAACAACCACAACAAAAACGTGTGTGAATGTGTGAATGAATCTAACCTTGTTTGTGCAAAAATTACATCAACAAGCCTCACTTATATCAAAAGTGTTAAATGTGAAGCCCTGTGAATATTAGGTTGTGCACAAAAATTTTACATTAGCATTTATTGCTTTGATTAATGGCTTGATGAATGTGATGCAAAACTGAACAATATAATATTACAAAAAAGTCTACAGATTAAACTCTCACCATTTCATCTGATAAAAACTATGGTCAAAAACTCAAAGCTCTTCACTAAAACCCATCAAAATAAAAGTTTAATTGAAAAAACTGTGACAGAAACATATTACTACTGTACAGTAGAATGCACTTCTCAAAATAATAATTATTATTATTACTACTACTCATACTTTAAGGACTATCACACAATTGTTCTTCCATATTTTAATTGTAAAGCTCTGTTGTGCAGTACTTTCCCAAAAAATAAAAGGAATTACATTTTTTTTATTTGATTACATTTAAATTTAATTAAATAAATGTTAAATGTAATTAATCTAATTAAATTGTTCATGTTTTATGCTTTTGTTTGATTACCACTGTTTTAATAATACATTTGCATTAAATCATAAATTGACAATACAGAATTTCTTTAAAAATTTAATTTTCTGTATAAATTAATAAATTATTAAGTTGTTATAGTTTTATACATTCAATTGATTAGACATGTTTTTTTATTATTAAAATTGTTTTAACCATTAAAATGGAATTTGGGGAAAATTAAAGAATTTGTGAAAAAATTATTAGAGCCCTAAAAAATGTATTTTTGTTAAAAATGAAATATATTGTTGTTAAAATATATAGTTTCATGATTTCAATTAATTACACATGCTTTTTTTGTTGTTTGAATTCAGGAATTAAGAAAAATAAATAAATACAAAAAAATGGGAACAAATTCAACGGATTTCTTAGGGTCCTGTATAGTGGAAGATATTTTCAATAACACTGGTGAAAGATGACGGAGTTTTCAGTGTTTGCAAAATAAAAGAATTAAATAAACAACAATGAAGTTATTTTATAATGAGAGTACATTGAAGGCAACTATAAATCAAATATAAATCAATCACTGCATTTTTTTTATTTAATTGTTTTCAGACAGATGCAGTGGTAAGATTTAACATTTGTGGATGGTCTAAAACAAAATAGTTGTAAAAATTCTGAAAACCTTTTAGGGCTCCTTGTATTGAAGTTTTCATAATCCACTTGAAAAAACATTACACATTAATGAATAAATCTAAAATTATTTAATTTACAAGTGTCATGTTTGTGATCTGTATTCATGCAAGCTATAGCTTCTGACCTTTAAATCAAAACAGACCGGTTACTTTATGACACCAATTACTGCTTTATTTAATCAAAAACACAAGCTTAATGTTGTTTGTGAATTATACTTTCATTTTATTACAAGTGGGCCAACAGCACTGCTGACGTGATCTTATCGCTAGCAAACCCTGAGAACATGCGCGTTATTTGTCTTATCGGCAAAGCATATCGGCATAATTTTTCATATCGGGCCGATATTTACATTTTAAGCCAATTCCGTTATCGTTCCTAGTCTGGAGTCACATACGAATCATTCTTATGAACTGGTTCTTTTTATTGAACTAGTTAAACCAGTTGATCAAATCAGACGGGAGCATCTGAAACAGTTCGCGACTCGAGCAGCACAGATCTATAAGCTACTCAATCAAAACTCACTTTAAGATGGATTTAATGTTCTGCCACGATTTTATTTTTTAGAAATCTAGGAATTGCGATTTTGACCAGAAAGAGAAAGCTGCTGCTGTTTTTACAGAACATTTATAGTTAATAATAGTCTACTGGTGTCATTTAGATTTTTTAAAGCATTTTCCTCGTATTATTTCTGAACACATAATACGTGTAAGACACGTTTGTACAGGATGTAGTTCTAGTTCATGCCTCTTTTCTGCAAAGATATTTAACAAGTTATTTGTTTAACATTTACTTCATGTGTGCTGCACTTGGAATATAATTTTCTTTAACTAGAGGGTTAATAAAGAAAAAGTTACTTGAATCATGTTGTAGGTAGGGCTGGGTATCGAGTTCGATACTTTTTAGGCACCGTCCGAATTGCCTCGATACCATCGAGTATTGAAAAACGTCTCGTCGTTCGGTACCAGATTTCGATACCTAAGGGGTTAATCTCATCAGCGTCAGTGAGCCAATAAACATGCAGCACTAGCCGGTGTGTTCGACTAGAAGAGGTGCGGCGCAGTCTGCTGTCTTTAGCTCTCGTGGTACTGTAATACACCGATCGGTCTGCACAGTCGGTCCGCGTCAAGTCAACACAGCTACTAGTTTACACCGGTTACACTCAGAGATGTGGCGCACACGTGAGGCTGTAGTGTGAATGCGTCCCAGCCCGCTTAGATGTAAGGCTACATTTACACTGGTGCGTTTATGTTTTAAAATGAAAACGATCCTCGTCATACTGGCGTTTCCACTGCGTTTCAAGCCGGCTTTCCACTATCTGCGACAAACGACAGATCGGTCATTCAGTCATTCATTTCCAATGGAGAGTAGCGCGGGAGCTGCGTGGAGCTCCGATCATATGCAGATGTCCGTTCATACTAACGTTACACGACCGAGAGCGCGTGTTATGTGGCCATTCATGCAAACTGTAGCATCATGCAACATAAGATTTTTTTAAAAACTCACTTTAAACCACCATCGAGTGTTTGTAATAACTTCCGATTGCCGTCTAATGTGTGTTTTGGCCATGTAATGTAGCTGAAATTAAATATGTTATTACCTCTGAGTCAGAGCAGCGATCATGGAAGAGAGAACACAGGCAGACAGCGCTGGAAGCTGCTAATGCTCATCAGTAAATCAGTGGAAGATAAATAGAAATCATGATTCTGTCTGAGCTGCGTTTTAAAACGAACACGCACTCGTGTAAATGTAGCTAACAGATGTGTAAACTGAAGACTATTTGAGCTTTATTAAAACTATTTGCACTGATTTATTGTGTTGGTTACATTTTGTTCCTTTGTGCAGTGGCTCAGGAGATGAGTCTTTGAGTTTGTATAAACATCAACAAGCTGAAAAAATACAACCAAATTTTTTTTTTTTAGATAATGTAATCTTGTTAAAATTTATTTCATAAAATTGGTATCGAAAAAAGTATTGTTCAGGAACCAGTCTTGAAGGTATCGGCATCTACATTTTTTTAACAATACCCAGCCCAAATGATGACATCACTGAATCAATGATGAACTGACTTTACAGTTTTTCTCAGTCGCTTTGGTGCATTTCTCACATCACTATTTACATTTGCACAACAGTTAGTTCAACCTCCACAACATTTAGTCATTTGTGCACATCATAGTAGCAGTTTCTCATTCCTTCGAACAAATTGCAAATGCTTTTGGACATGCATCAATTGCTTTCATACAACTCTCTGCTGTTTTATAACATTATCATTTGCTTATGTCATGTCAGTCAAAATTAACTATACTTGTGAATGCTGAATAGTCATTCCATATAAAACTAATAGTCCTCATTTCATTGCTTGAGTCATTACATACAAAAATGTTGAACTAGTTGTCAAAATCTGTCAAGCAAATTTTACAAATTTTTTTAAATCTTTTTTTTCCTGAAAATGTCTCCTAAATTGAACAATTTCTCTCAGGTGAATCTCAACTTTCACTGATGAGAAGGGGTGTGTGAAGCATTAGTTGCAACCAATGATAAGCCACTTCTCTACAATCACTGTCAGAGCTGAATCCCATAAACCCCCACTTTACAAGCATATATGAACCAAGCAGGACATAGTGTGTACCATTTCTACAATACTGTGACACAGAAATGGAAGGGCAGCCTCGTGGAAGAGGGGTGAGGGTGCGGGGAGGAAGGGGAAGGGGACAAAACAGGGGAAGAGGAAGAAGAGGCCAAGTACATAGGCGGATCCCTGATGAAATCAGGGCTACAATTGTGGATCATGTTGTCAATATCGTTCAGGAACCGGTATCGAAGTCAAGGTATCGGTATCAAAATTTTTGAACGATACCCAGCCCTAGTTGTAGTTACATTTTCAAGTTGACTAGTTAAAAAAATCGTAAAAAACAAATTGAGGATCGGTCAACCGTTCGGAAAAAAAAAAACGAGATTTAAATTTTTTTGCATTATCACCCAGCCCTAGATTACGTAAACGAACGAGTTGAACCGAACAAGCCCAAAAGAACCTGTTTGTGGAAAATAATCAGATTTTAACGTTTGTCTGAGGCTCTGGATTACAGTAATAATGCTGTAAATAATGTTCAGTTTCTTCAATAATGCACAGACTGATCGTTTCGCTTCATAAAACCTCAATATATCGCCAGGAGCCTTTGACTCTCAAAGTGACAGTCGCCACATGTTACGAATCGCCAAGCAGCGTCAGCTAAAAACCTTTTTACTGTTCTACCGAAGAGGAAAACTCATTCACATCTTTAAAATGCAAATGTTCGTTTTTGGGTGAACTATTCCTTTAGTTAAGCATAACACAATCCGATTATTCGGACAAATGGAAATTTTCCAGCCAAATGTGCTTCAAAACATCCTTCAACGGGACGGTCACATACAGTACTGCACCCCCTGCAAGGGTTTCTGATTAGTGCTGGACACTACAGCAGTGCTGTTCTCTAGAGGTGTGATCAGTATGAGTGCTAGCACTAGCGGTGCCTCCAGCAATCACAGAAGACACTGGCGTACCTTCACAAGCTTGAGCAGCTGGTACAGATCCTCCACCTCATCTCCTTCGGTCTGGCTGTATTCTCTGGCCGTGTGCAGACTGAAGCCCTCAATAGTGCGCCTGTACAGGGGAACATCCATGGCCTCAGCGTACAGACCCACGGCCTGATGACCCACCGTCTGATACATGTAACTGTCCAGCTCATCTGGAACTGACACACCACGCATGCGATGCGAGAGTTTAGCTAGTTTTGATGAAGTGTCATACTGCAGGACACATAACAGAAATAACAGCTCGTGTGTTATTATTGTGTGTTAGATGATCTCACCATGTGTGTGAGGCATGAGGTTCGCGAGAGCCACGATAGAGTGACCAGCAGACACACACTGCAGCATGTTATAACAGCTGTCCTTACCGCCGCTGAAACACACACACACACACAATCACTGACCAGCTCCAATAGCTGCACAACTGTCGTATTCAAGCGTCGTTATAAACACAGTCGCGTCACGTTACCTGATCAGCGCAGCAACTCTCATGGTGTTTATTTCACAGCTGCTCACACACACACACACACTCAAGACTCTGCAGTCGCACACGTGTTCTTCCACTCGGCTGTAAACACTAGCGCGCTTCCGGGTTCTGAAGGACCCCTACTGGAGGCTGCCTGATGATCCGCCTGCGCGAAATGCTAAACAAAACCCTCCTGTTAAACATCACACGCGGCTTACTCTTCTGAAATATCTGTTATAGTGCAGCACATGCTGTTAGTTATATGAATGCAGTAAACTAAAGTCAAGCATACTGCTGCATACTGAAGGAAGAACTTATCAATTCAAATATCAATATCAAAGTTATCAATAAAAATAAGTTGTGTATAAGATATTAAAGGAAAATCAGTTGCATGTGTAGTGTTTCATGTGTGCATGATAAAAGATTGATTGATCAGTTCGGGATGTAGGCTAATAATCAGACTAAAGATGAGCCTAACCCACATGAAAACAATACTATAGTAATTTATAGTGTTTTTGAACCATACTATAGTAAAGTACTTGAATTAGTTTGTTGTGGTAATTCTACCGTTGCTATGGTAACATAACAACTATAGTAATATAAACAAATGACTTTACCCAATACTGTAATACGTTTTTTTTTACAACTATGGGGTATATTATACTACAATACACTAGTAGTAAAAACTAAAGTATACTGCAGCATTCAGTTGATCAGTTCGCTAGTTACTACAGTATGCTGTAGCATTCATTAACAAAGTGTTGTAAATTAAATTAAACATTAAACAATTAAAATGAGACTGGGTTTGTCCGAAAGGAGATTTAGAAAATATTCACAAGCAGCGTTTCCCAGCAGATGGAGAATGTTCTCTTTATGTTTCCATATGGTTCCTGTTCTGGAAAGTGTTTTTAGTTACCACAAGCTAGAATGTTTTTCTGTTTTTAAAGGAACGGTTCACCCAAAAATGAAAATGTGCTCAGCCTCAAACCATCCAAGATATAGATCTGAGAGTTCGTTTCTTCATCAGGTTTGTAGAAATGTAGCATTGCATCAGTGTCTCAGCAATGGATGCTCTGCAGTGAATGGGTGCCGTCAGAATGAGAGTCCAAACAGCTGATAAAAACATCACAATAATCCACAAGTAATCCACAGCACTCCAGTCCATCAGTGAACATCTGGAGAAGACAAAAGCTGAGACACATCCAGCATTAAGACGTTTAAAAAAAAAAAGTGCATCTGCTGTTGTCTCTCTCATCAAAATCCAGCCACATATTAGTTTAGAGCTGTTTAAACGCTGCTTGATCTGTGCAGATTTCTCTCCTGATTCAGACCAGACCACTTTTTCACGTTATTATGGATAGAGGACTCATATTTTAGCCAGAAGTAACATTCTGAAGTTAAAATGTCTTAGTGATGGATGTTTCAGCTTTTGTCTTCTCCAGATGTTAACTGATGGACTGGAGTGCTGTGGATTACTTGTGGATTATTGTGATGTTTTTATCAGCTGTTTGGACTCTCATTCTGACGATTTCTACAAACCTGATGAAGAAACAAACTCATCCTAATCTCGGATGATCTGAGGGTGATCACATTTACAGCAGATTTTCATTTAATTTCCTTCAACAAAAACTACATGTCAATGATAACACTGTGTAGGGAGCGCAGATGCACTGAATGACGTCTTTGTCTTTTCTATAAAGACTGTGGGCATCTCAAAGCTGATTTACACGCACACAAACTCATCTTAGTCGCACAAGGACACAAAAACCTTGCACTTAATAAGAAGCTGTGAAATTATGACCCAGATGTCCAGAGAGTCGCGGCAGTCAAGGTTTAGCACACAGACGCCGCGCTCCACATCTATTCATCTTCTTTTAAGAGGACAACAAAACAGCTTCTGTTCGCGGTGACAAGCTCGTCTTGTTGCAGGGACAAATTGCTCCTTAAATTACACTTTGAGCAATTTCGCAGTTTTATAGAAATATTTTCACCATCACACACGCTGACCTGACAAAGTTAGTATTTGCCTTTTTCATTTCACTTCTTTGCATCTTGTGACAGATGTCCAAAAGCGTGCCTGCTGTGAATTACGGCCTGCTTTAGGCTCTTCTGTGAGGAAAAGCACAGCGTCCTGAAGCTCCTGGACCGACTGAACTCTCCCAGGAATAACTTCAGCTTCCTGCAGAGTTACAGTATGATTGAATCATAACTGCGACTCTATTTACATCATCTGACAACTATTTCCTCTGCAATGGGAGCGCATTTGTAGCCGCACTTAAGGCAGATGTCTGCCAAGCCTCAAAAGTACCACAAAACCCAGATTGTGACGTTCAGAAGGAATCAGTTCAGCTCATAATTCTTCACGCGGCCGCAGACACGCAGCAGATCTGTCTGTTCAGATGCCATACATCTTCTTCTTTACAGATCCTCGTGGAGCGTTTGGCAGGCCGTGTTCTCACGCTTTCTCTCAGGATCTTGTCCTCAAACACGAGGAAGGACGCTGCATACTCACAATACACTGCAGTCACTTTGGATCTTTACTGGAAAAGCAGCTGTTAGATTTTAAAACATTCACCCGTCGAAACGTTTCTCAATAAACAATAATCTGCAATGTTTAAAATTGTTACATAATTCAATTAAATGTCTTCGTTTTCTGTCAAATTCAACACTCATCTCTTTACAGTGCAATATCTCCAGTTCAGTTCAGTATGCAGAATCAAATTACTGATCAACTCACACATTTTGAGATTATACACCATGAAAGCTGAATAAATAAGCTTTCCATTGATGTATGGTTTGTTAGGATAGGATGATATTTGGCTGAGATACCACTATTAGAAAATCTGGAATCTGAGGGTGCAAAAACATCTAAATATTGAGAAAATCATCTTTAAAGTTGTTCAAATTAAGTTCTTAGCAATGCATATTACTAATCAAAAATTAAGTTTTGATATATTTACGGTAGGACATTTACATAATATCTTCATGGAACATGATCTTAACTTAATATCCTAATGATTTTTGGCATTAAACAAAAATTGATAATTTTGACCCTTTACAATTCAATTAAATTCAATTTATTTGTATAGAGCTTTTCACGATGCAAATAGTTGCAAAGCAGCTTTACAGAAAATTGAAGTTTCTAGATTATATTTAGTAATAGCTTATCAGTGGTGACTATCTCAATGTATTGTTGGCTATTGCTACAAATATACCACATTAATATATTTGGAAATATTTTAGCAAATCCATTTCTGTATATTTTAAAATAAAGGGTCTTTATCGGCATCAATGGTTCCATGAAGAACCTTTAACATCCATAGAACGTTTCTATTGGACAAAAGGCTCTTTAGTGGAAAAGGGTTCTTTAGATTAATTAAATGTTCTTCACACTAAGAATATAATGTTTTTAAAGACCTGTTCGCGCAAAGGTTCGTTGGGGAACCAAAAATGGTTCTTATTGCTGCAAAATCCCACTTTTTGAACCTTTATTAAGAGTGAAGAACCATTTCATGTTCCTCAAAGAATCTGTCAGTGAACAGTACTAAAAAAAACATTATTTTATAAGTTTGAAGAACATTTTATTAATCAAAAGAACCCTTTTCCTCTATAATAACCTTTTTGTCTAATGGAAATGTTCTATGGATGTTAACCATCAATGCCAGGAAAGAACCTTTATTTTTAAGAGTGTATTTTCTACCAATATATTTTTGGGCATTTTTGTATATTTTTGAAAACACATTAACGCATTAAAACATATATCAAAATATAGGTATTAATCTAGAAATAAATTCATTAAAAATATATATTTTCCCCTCCATATATGTCTGTCACATTTAAATAAAAATCAGCAAGGAACTTTACAATGTTCCAAAAAAAAATTGCAATATTACAATATATAGAAAGAATTAAACATATTAAAACATTATAAATCTACTTTTGATGCCCAGTAGGAGATTTCATCTACATTTGCATTTAGCCTAAAAGTAGAATAAAACATAGAATGTTTCTTGCCCCTGAAATTTTGTTATCCAAAGGTTGAAATTAAATATATTTTAAATTTTAAAAATAGATTTCATTGAGCTTCACTGGTTTACAACATATATTTATCATTTTGCGCTGTGCAGAAAGAGGGAATAATGATGACAGAATTTTAAATTCTGGGTAAATACTGTATCAATTTTATGTATGTACTGCATCTGTCTCATCAATATATGTGAAAATGCATTTAATGCAATGGTGCACGATGAGGTTCTTCTATAAGGACTTGATGATATTCTCTAGATGTCTCCTGATTTGATGTCTTTGGTTGTGCTTGAATCACACTGACGTTGTGAAGTTTCAGCCAAACGGGATGTGGTCCATTTGCATTGTTTGACTTTTGAAGGCAGCTAGGAAGATTATCAATGAATAACAGCTGCAATTAGGTCTATTTCTTCAAACTTGTGGCTTAAAGATGTGAGTAGAATTATCCTAAATGATGATGATCCTAAATTCCTAAATTGCAGTTCATCTTAAAAGTGCAATGTGAACAAGCGCATCAACTCCATATTTGTGCTAGGAAATCATATATAATTAATACATTTCAGTGACATACAGTAATTATCACATAGTAGTTGCAATGCATATTGTGATTGTGTACGCATGCTCTTCAGCTGGCGTATGCACAAGAACATTTCCAAGTCAGTTTTTGCCTTTATAAATCCCAGTTAGTAAATGATGACAGGTTCAGGTGAATCAACCCCTTAAATGTTACGAACCAGTGTTATGTAATGTTTAAGTTTAAAATCAGCCTTGACCGCGTACCATCCAGAAATAACCGGCATTGCTTTCCTGCGGTGATCCTGTGTTTGTGTTACCGTAATACTCATTTTATCCAGCCGCTGGATGAGAAAGCTCCATCCATTTCAAGGCCTCTAAGTGAAGTGGGATGCTGTAATTAGGATGCCTGCTCTCTGATATACAGTCCGAGGACGGTTGCTTTCTTGCCCGACAAACACAATCTTAATCCAGGAAATAGCTCGCAATCAGAATATTGGATCTGACATCAGAGGTAGCCACAGAGGCGGTCTTTCCCGAGCTTCAAAGCCTGGGCCGGGCCTGTTAGAGGTTTCTCCTGTGATCAACT